GTATTATTCATATAAGACTTCTATAAGATTCCTTTAGGAAATCTATAGGACTTCTTTAAGATATCTTTAGAATTACTAAAAGAGTTCTATAGGATTCTTATAAGACGCCTATATGATCCCAGAAAGAAATATGTAAAAGTCTTAAAAAATATCTACAAGATTCCTAAAAATACCTACAGGTCCTATATAATTCATATAAGACTCCTATAAGATTTCTATAAGGTATCTACATGTATAACCTTCCTATATCATTCATATAAGACTCCTATAAGATTCCAATAAGATACCTATAAGATTCCTATAGATTTCATATAAGAAACCCATAGGATTCCTATAAGATACCTATATAATTCATATAAGATTCTATAAGGTTCCTTTAGAAAATCTATAAGATTCCTTTAGGCATTCTGTAGGATTCCTATAGGATAACTATAATATTCCTATTTGTTTCATTTAAAAATCTTGCAGTTTTCCTATAAGATTTCATTAAAAATCTTATCGGAAACATATTAAAATTCCTATAGGATACTTATACGACTCCTATATGATTCCTATAGGATTCCCAAAGGATATCTATTGAAATAATCCTATAGGATCCTATAGATGTGACGAAAAATCTATAAGATTCCTATAGGATTTTCTCTTATAGGATCCTATAGGACATTTTTGTAAGGGTTGGTACTTCATTTTTGAATAAGATGCTCCACTTGGCCTCGTTTTGGCTACGATAGTTTAATAATTTGTTATTACCATTATTCCTTATCATTAATGAAATAATAGTCAGTCAGAGGGCTTATTTATGGTAATAATATGTATACTAAGCCTAAAGGTGGCCTTTACTACGACGGCCATCTTGGATGGTACACATACATAATTTTGCATTGCCTCGCCATCTTGTCAGCACTCTAGTTGTTTAATAGCACTATGGTCTGGATGCGATTTTTTTTCCCGTACGAAACATTTACATGAAACTCCACTCGGGCCGTCTCGGCTGAATCGACCCGAAAATCTCGTAGTATTGCAGAATTCAGGTCAAAAGGTCATCAACAACTTCTGATCTGAGAGAACGTAGCTGTCTAATTTTTTTAAAAACATTGATGTTACCATGCTAATACTAATGGGTCGTTTGAAATGACATAATATTTGATTGAGCTGCACGAGTAAAAAAGTGTTATTTTAACTTAAGTTACATATACTGTGGCAATTTTTATTTTTTAGTTAGGTCTGGATTTTGCATAATTACCTAAGCCTAACTACAAAAAATATACGCTTTCTGGGGAAAGCACAGAGAGTAAGGAAAAGCGCGTTTCTCGGGGCATTTGATCAAATGAAACAGGGTGACTGTTATTTTCAAATTAAGAGAAGAGAAAGCTCTAAAATACTGGATGCCAAAAGACCTGCCAAAATGGCAGAGCACCAATGAATGTATAAATGAGGCCTAAGCCTAGTTATTAATATCAGGCATAGTAATTTGCAGATTCTTGATTACAAGACTAGACCAGGTTAATTAAATGTAATGCCGAAATGATTATTTCTTATTATTATTATTATTATTATTATTATTATTATTGTTATTGTTATTATGTCACTAAAACCAACATGTAGGCCTACCTTAAGGGGAACTTAGACCTATATCGAGGAATTAGAGAACAATTAAAAAATCGACGTTAAGGGGAAATAACAGAAGATATTCCCCCTGGGCTAGTTATTAATTATAGGCCTAGTAAATAGTATAAAAGGCTTAGGTCAAGGTAATTAATGCTGAAATTATTATTATTATTATTATTATTATTATTATTAATTATTATTATGTTACTAAAACCAACCTGTAGGCTTACCTTAAGGGGAACTTAGACAATGGAGGAATTAGGTCAAGGTAATTAATGCTGAAATTATTATTATTTTTAAATTAAGAGAAGAGAAAGCTCTAAAATACTGGATGCCATAAGACCTGCCAAAATGGCAGAGCACCAATGAATGTATAAATGAGGCCTAAGCCTAGTTATTAATATCAGGCATAGTAATTTGCAGATTCTTGATTACAAGACTAAACCAGGTTAATTAAATGTAATGCCGAAATGATTATTTATTATTATTATTATTATTATTATTATTATTATTGTTATTGTTATTATGTTACTAAAACCAACATGTAGGCCTACCTTAAGGGGAACTTAGACCTATATCGAGGAATTAGAGAAATAAAAATAAAAAAATTATTATTATTTTTATTATTATTATTATTATTATTTAACATTAATTACATTACAAGGTTGGTCAAGTTTAATAACGCCACTGAATGGTATATTTTATTTAATAATATTTCTCTTATGCACTTTTTTTTTATTTCATGCTTTCCATTTTTTTTTTTTTGCAAAATTTCAATCAACGTCTATATGTAAAGCGTGACTGTTGGTGTCAGCCTAGGAACCTAGGCCTCTTAGGTAGGACTTAACTTAGCCTGTAGTAGTTAGGCCCATAGTTTATGCTCTTTCTCTCTAGCCTCTGGTATTACTGTACCTATCAACACTTTATAAAAGGGGATACTAGCTGCTGTTGTTGTAGATATTATACTAACATTTAATAAACATCCAAGAAGGTCACAGTTAGTTACACACGTACATACCATAAATCCGAAGTGTCTGCTCTTGTTCCTCGTATCGAACTTAGTCGAGTCAATCCGAAATGGTCCGAGTGAAGTTTCATGCAAATGTTTCGTACGGAAAAAAAAATCGCGGTCTGCATATACTTAACAACAGAAGGGCGCCCTATACGTGTGGATCAAGTTAGAAAACTTGCATTATATAAAAAGAGAAGTGCGCCGCGTACGTCGGGACCAATTTCCGCCTCATTTTTATTTTTTGCTATGCGTGTCTCTGTTGTATTTGTAGTATCTTTGCCAGTATTTACCGGTGGTGAGTTAGCCAGTACTTCGTCATGGGAGATAATCGCCTACTCTTTTGCGAAGAATCAACATGTCTTTCTATATAGACTATTTCTATACACATTGTAAAACTTAATAAAAAGCCAGTACTCTATTACTGGCCTATGCTCCTTTATGGTTGCCGCTATCATTAGAGTGAATCGCCTTGGCCATATTGACTTCTCAAAATTGTGAATGGCTTTGGTGAGTGATGATATGTATGATAATGAACGTAGAACGGCTTTTGAATAATAAATTTCCAATTAAAAATCATTGTATTGCCTTACTCTGCAAGTATGAAAACATCGGCGATGGTCTACAGGGATATGTTATGCCTTTTAGTTCTTGGGAATATACGACTCGGTGACCGGTATCGATATTCCATACAGATAACATGGTGTCATGTCGTCTTAGAATATACACATACGTTCCTAAAAAAAACCAAAAAAAATAAATAAATAAATAAATAAACAAAAAGCTTTTTAGATAATGTTAATAATTTTATGGTTTGTCGAGAATAGTTAACAAAAACAACGAAAGGAATGTAGTAGTATAAACAAGTCTAAGTGGTTCAAATGTTAGTTTGCGTTGTTTCCTAAGTCACCCATAATATTGAAAATCTTCGGTCGGCTTATTTATGAAATAATATATTTTCCCAAAAAGAGCCCAGGATTTGTGTAATGTATAAAAACGACACTTTCCAAACTTCTAATTGATTAATTCATGCCTTACTGAACGAATTAGGCCTAATTGACCAATTTCCAATTATCAGATTTCTTGAGCAACTTACGTTTTTGTCTTCTATAAGAACTGTTATGATTTGATCCGTAGTCCATAGAAGTGAGGTTAACTGGTCGGCCCTACTAAAAAGCAGTGGTGCATAGAGTATGCAGAGCAGGGAAATTGAGCTCGCCTCTACTTTGACGCTGCCACTGGCTGGAATTATACTCACCAATTTGTAAAACTTGTATCAGTGGATTCAGATACTCGACGCCTGTGAGTTTGTAGGATATCTGTTTATAAGGACTTAAGGTTTGGCTTGTCCTCCAGGTCCTGTAGACGTTCTTCCACAAATCCTCAAAGTCTGCATCATCATTAACATAATCCTTTTGCTGATAATCGTCCGACAAGGGGTTGAAGCCTATAATGTCTATCAGAGAGGCCCTGTGGATGTCGCGTAAACATAAATGTCGCCATAACTGATAATATTGCTCAAGGCGTTCAACTATTTCTTTCCAACTATGAGATACCTGTAAAAGGCAAAGTGTATTTTTTTTTCAAGTAAAATAAATGTCTATCCAGTTGCATTATTGACAAATATATTAACTCATAAAAGTCATTTAGAGAAGTAATTTTTACATTGATTTTTGACCCACAAGACTAGATGAGAATGGTGGGCACACTCAAGTTTATACTAATTGTTGTCTGAATCTCATACCTTAGTACATATTTTTAAAATGTTGTATTTAATAAACTTCTGTTTTTAGATATATTGATTTATCAGACCAATAGAAAAATAGTATAATATTGAATGTTTTCCATTTTGAATAACACAAAATTACAAATTAAAGCAACTTTGTGAATCATCATTGCTAGTATTTATTATATTATCACTTCCAGTATTTATGGCATCACTAACCTGTTTTGCTCTCAAAATACTTCTACCATCGAGGTGCCAAATGATATTTTCTACAATTTCTGGTAAATCTTGAAGATCATTCGGGAAAGTATCATCAAGTTTCTTTCTTGCACGAAAAATTTCTAAGATAATTGGCACAAAGTACTTATTTATTATATCGCAGATTTTGTGTGTTACGTTATAATTGTTGCTGTCAATAAAAAGTATCAAAAAACGCGTGATTTCGTTTCTAATAAAGACCTTTCACTTTATGCAAGCATATTTTTACGAAAATTTTTAGTCGATCACTGGAATCGACCGGTACCGGTTTGAGACTATAAGATGATTGACAACAAGACATTAATTCATTCAATTCAATTAAATTTAGATCATGTGAAAATATCTTAGGTCTATTTGATGACTTAAAATCCGAGTCCTGACAAACTCAAGTTTAGATTAATAGAATTATTGAAATGACGTGTTATTTTAAAGATACACACACATGACTGTAATAATAACAATTACAGCAACATTATTCCTTCCGTGTCACAAAATGGTTTACTTCTAAGTTGGATAGCTACCATATTTAGCATAAAGAAAATACACTATTCAATATACAGTATTTACCTCTAAGCATACAATTGATTGCTACTCATGAATAAAGAAACATATAGAGGCATCGAACCCTCGACAGTACGGTACGCCTATTTTGAAAATTCGCGCTGTGTGTCATGTCACAATACCGTACGCCTATCGTGCCAAATAGGTGTCTGTGACGTTACCATAATATTACCACTGTATTTAATATTATGTAATCAATATTAGTAGTGATGCTGTAGGTCGTGGTTAAGGTGACTGCCTTCTCAGGATCCTGGGTCCAAATCCTGGTAAGACACAATATGTCAGTGGAGCATCACATTGTTATACCAGCTCACCGCCAATGGCTAGCTGGAACGGTCAACCCTTATGGTTTAGAATATTGTTTATTATTTATCAAAATACTTTAAGCCTTAAGCAACCAATGAGTTTCAAAACAGGGTGCTCGTGGACCAAAATTTAGCACAACTATATGTTGTTCCAATGGTTATTGTAGGTACCGGTAAATATTGAGTTAACATTTGCACAAATGAATCAAAACGTAAATTCAATTATTAACAAATAGTATAACATTTGACTAATTATTACTAAGAAAGCAAAGAAAGACGAACGATGTAAGAGTGACTCTAATCATTTCCGGAAAAAAAATATGCAATATACCTTTAATATGAGTGAAAGAGACAAACGCATAATAATGTCATTTAAAATGGAAACGAATGACAGGCTATTTAAAAATACAATAAGACTAGGAAGATCGAAATCGCAAATGTGCATTAATCACTACCACTATATCTTAATTTTGGCTTCATGCTGATTCTCTACATTCCAAACTGAAGAGAACTCATGTTGAATTAAAAAAAAAGAAAGAAAAAAGAAAAAGAAAACTGGAGTAGAAGAATGGCGACTCCATTATCTCAAGTCCTGTTATTCTAACACCCTGCTTTCAACACACAATGATAATCTACTAAACCATGCATATAATATGGAATGAATTTTTCGGATGGAAGCACCATAGATAAAATTTATTTGGTTAGGCGCTATATAAATATCAGCTTTTATTTATTTATTTATTTATAATACCAAATTATCAACCGTAAAGTAGTTGCATGCTTTCGAAATATGACCCTTTGTTGCATAATTCGTATTTCCTATTTCATAATTCCGTACATCAGATGAACACGATCACAACTTACAGCCGGGTAAACACTGCATCTTTTTTAATTCAATAGAATGGAATGCACGTCAAGAAATCACCTCAATCAAGGTTTTCAGAAAGTTAAACCCATGAAGTTATCAGTCAACTAACTAATCACATAAAAATAATCTTTAAATGCTATGTTAATTAACCAATCATGGATGCCAAATACTTGACGTCATAATAATATGACTACTGCATGAAGCTATGTCACAGCACACCAGTCATATTGCACATTATTGTTATAATTTAACTCAAATCTAACTCATTAGACCAATTAAAATATAATTACAAAGAGGCTATGTCATTATCGTAACTATGTCATCATTGTACGAAATCATGCCAAAAACCCCCATTAAGGGGACAATTTCAAATGTTTAGTAAGTGTCCCCCGAATAGGGTACCCTATTCAAGGGACACCATATTAGGGGACACGTTTTGGGGTCCCGGGAGTATCCACTTAATAGGTGTTCTAATGTAATAATAACTAGTACAGCAACAACATCATTCCTTCTATGTCACAAAGTGCCTTCCTTCTCCGTTGGACAGTTACCCTAGTCAACATAAAGCAAATATACTGTAATATAAATGTGATGTTTTTGCTTTTTCTCGTTCTTGTTTTCCTTTGTACAAAATACGCCAATTTAGCTTTTTGCTACTAATGTATTTTTTATGAAGGAGATTTTTGAATAAAGATACCGATTATATATAATATTCAACATTTAACATTCCTCTAGTCTAAACATACGATTGAATAGAGAGACAGACCCTGAAAAATACTACTGACGCATCGAACCCTCGACATTGGTTTGAGAGGCATGACTACCATTCGTCAGCTTGTGTGATGGTACAGTACGGTACGTCTGTTTTTTCTAATCTGACCTGTGTGTGACGTCACACTACTACCATACGCCTTTCGTGTCAAATATTTGTCTGTGATGTTACTATATTGCAAATGTATTTTATATCGTTTAATCAATATTCAAGTAGTGATGCTGTAAGTTAAAGTGACTGCCTTCTTAAGATCCTGGGTCCAAATCCTGGTAAGACACAATGTGTCAGTGGAGCATCACATTGTTATACCAGCTCGCCTTCAATGGTTATCTGGAACGGTCAACCCTTATGGTTCAGAATTTTATTATTTATCAAAATACTTTAAGCCTTAAGCAACCAATTAGCTTCGAAAACCGGGTGCTCGCCCACCAAAATTTAGCACAGCTTTATATGAGTTTGCAAGGGTTATTTTTGGTAAACATTGAGTTACATGCATTTGTCTCTTCCACTCAATAATATAAAATTATATTTTATACTTTGGCCAGGGAAAACTGAGTCACTCTTACATCGTTCGTTTGTCCTTTCAAAATTAATCAAAACGTATCATCAATTATTAACAAATAGTAAAAAAATATGACTTATTATTACTAGTAGGGCGAAGAGAGACGAACGATGTAATTTTATTTTATTGAGTGGAACAGACAAACGCATCACTGTCATTTAAAATGGAAACGATTGAAAACGTATTTATAAATACATTAATAATAATAATAATAATAATAATAATAATAATAATAATAATAATAATAATAACAATAATACTAACAATAACATTAACAATAATAATAATAACAATATTATAATTTTAGAACATCCTAATAACACAAACTCATGCTCCCTGGGAGAGTATTCCATAAATTTGCAGCAGCTACATCAGCGCATTTTGGCATTTAACCCTACCAACCAAGTACCCATTTATACTCCTGGGTGCAGAGAAGCGATGCAGATAATGTGCATTGCCCAATGACTCAAGCGAAATGCACAGCGAGGGGATTGAACCCCGACCTGAGGTTTGGAAACCAAACCGTTCCTACTGCACCAAACCACTTCTACAAGGTAACAAATATGTATATAATAACATAACCATATTCTTTATCAATTAACTTATATCAACTACCTTTAATTGCCTGCTAAGTAATTTTATTATTATTATTGTAGTAAAAGTTCAATAGATCTGTGAAAACATATATCAGTTAGTTGATACTTTTAAGTAATGAAGTAACATTTTTAAATATTTCCTTATTTCATCAGAATCATTAATAATTTGATTTCTATCATTGATTAACCAGAATCTCTTGATGATCAAGACTGCTGACAAGAAAGAAATGTAAATCAACTCAAAATATTTAAGGCAGAATTGATTGAAAAAGATAACAAAACCACTGCTGATAAATTAGACGAATACTACAGTATACATAAACAAACTTGAAAGAATTTTAATCAGTGGTGAATTATCGGCTACCGTATGGACTGAACAGTAGGCCTAGGTAGCGATTGCGGTATGGAAACAATAATAATGTAAAAATAATACTGAAATATTTACCAAATACCAAAAATATCACTACTTTGTGCAAATTAACAAAAATGCGTCCGTATGTCCCATTTGAAGTCATGTTGTCTTGAGAAGACAAACAACAATGCAGTTATCTGAAGGTGGGAGGGGGAGGAGAACATGCTCGATGATCAGTTGAGGGGACCTAACTCAAAAAATTAGGTCATTTTAGGTGCTTTTTAACAACTTTTCCGTGAATTTTTTTTTGGGTGGGTGAGGAGCGTCTTGGGGCACACAACGCCGAGGGGGGGGGGGGGG